CTCCCTCTACGCTCCCAGTATCGACACTCACTCCACTGGTCGTGAAGGGATCATCCACCCTGGATTTCCTGTGTTTCCAGTTCCTATCTGTACCAGTATACATCCTCTGGTCTAGGCAGACTTGCAAAGTAGAGTTCAGATCATGATAGTGTGTGTGGAGGGGGAAGCATCTAGGAACTAGAGGAAAGTTGTATTTTTCATCGTTGCTACAAGGCACCCTAACTGGCTCGTCTCCTCCCCGAGACCCCTCTACAAGGGGATCTCCAGTGGCCTACAAATGGGTTTTGGGTCTCCACTCCGAACTACCCCTCCTCATTTGCTATGGTAAGATTTTTTTGTTCTGATGATGCCTTATACCTGATCCCTTCGACACCTCGTGATCGCAAAGGCTGGTGTGTTTCTTCCATGTGGGCTTTGTTGCTTCTGAGCTAGATGGCCAAATGCTGCACTTTTGACCATGTGTGTGGTTAATTACTCTAAGCCAGTGGTTCTCAATCTGTGGGTCACGACCCCTTTGGATGGTCAAATGACCCTTTCACAGGGGTCGCCTAATCCATCCTGCATATCAGATATTTACATTATGATTCATAGCTAGCAAAATTACCGTATGAAGTAGCGAAAATAATTTTATAGTTGAGGGTCACTACAACATGAGGAACTGTGTTAAAGGGTCATGGCATTAGGAAAGTTGAGAACCACTGCTCTAAGGAATGCATTCCTCATTAGTGTTTGTTATAGTTTTTGCTTGTTGTTTGACTGCAGACTTAGCTGTGGGAGTGTGCTCAGTCTAGGCTTGAAGGGTGTCTAAGAGTCATACTCCGGCAAATTCTCCCAGGCTATGTCGGATCAGTAAGCCAGAGCATTTTCATAAATTTGAGCTTTGTTGTTCAAATTTTTATGAATTTGAGCTGTTTTTCCCCTACTCTATCCAGAACTTCCTATTGTGATCCCTGTTATAGGATCAGCAATGGAAGCAAGAAACCACATTGTTCTCTTGGTCTCAGGGTTGTGGAGGCAGGGCTTCATGTGGTCCATAAGGCCTTGGAACTATAATTGGTTTTGGGGGAGTAGGTTTTAAATAACCAGTGTAATTTCTAAAATGGACATAGAGCTCTTCAGATTTTCTTCAGTGTCAATGTTGGTAACCTGTATTTTCAAATAAATGTGTCCATTTTATCTAAGAGGTAAAATGTGTTGGCAGAAAGTAGTTCACAATATTCTTACTCTTTTCATTCTTGATGTTGGTGACTTGCAATCTCTCTTTTCTCTTTTTATCTAACTATCATGGTTTGTCAATTTGCTGACTTCACAGTGTGTTGAATTTTGTGGTTATCTTTATTAGTTTCTTCCATCTTATTTTAGACCTACTGTGTTCTTCTAGCACTGTAAGAAAGAAGCATAAAAAACATAAGGAAGTATAGATGATTAATTTGGACCTTTTTTCTAACATAAGCATTCAAAAGACTTAGTATTTTACCCAATGCTGATTTTCATACAGTTCATAAATTTAGATATATTTTTTATATCACTCAGTTAAAAAAATTTCTGTACTACATCTTTGATCCATGTAGTTTTAGTTTCCAAATAATTTAAGTTATTTTTATTATTATTTATTAATCACTTTTGTTTTTAGTGATTGTACTGACGTTATTTTGCTGTCCTTTGATTCACATTTAATGTCAAGAAATAAAATATAATATAAAGAAAAGTATGTCCTGAAAAGGGTCTGCTTCCTTCTGCAGGCCTGGGCATATTTTCCAATAGGGAGCACTTACTTGATGGTTCACAGGGATCATTCTATCATTTTTGATTTCTCATGTGCTGAAGGGAAGCTCATCCACATTCGGTGACAGAAGTTAGTGCCATCGGAACTGTGGCAAACGGAACTGTTTGGGTATTCTTAGATTCAGACCCTAAACAGGAAATATAGCATTCGACCATTTTGTTCAGAAGTTACAACTATAGGCTCTTTCTTTAAGTATAAAGTGCGAAAGAGGGCCCTTTCTTGAGTACACAAGTATTATTGTGGTCTAGAGATTGCCGAGTTGATATTGTGTCTGTCTAATGAAGATAAGAGACTGCTACTCAGTTAAGAAACTTCCACAACTTGTCAAAGTTCTTTAAATCAAGGAGCAAGTTCCTTTTCTAGGCTATTGGTCCTATATCGGTATTGCTGTTGGCAACGAAACTCACCACCTAAAGGAAATTATTAAATTGAACCACCTGGTAGGTGTTATCATAACAGATAATGCTTTTGTTTCTTGAGAGTCCAAGTTGATTTACTGCCTTGGCCAGTTGCAGGAGCAAAAGTAGATAAGAAGCCATGTCTTAAAAGATGCTCTGGAGCATAGTTATTGGCCAGTTTAATAATAGACACTCCATTTCTATCACAATGATAGCAAGGAGTCCTTGGTAATATTTATACAAGAGTCTTTGGAGGTCCTTTTTTCTAAGAACACAGCTTCTTCTGTAAGCAGCCATTACGTGACTTGTCGCCTCATCTGCTTTTTGGCTGGAATTCTACCCAATGTTCTGATTATTGGTTGCTACATTCCAAACACTACAGATAACACTACAATCAGTGGCTTTTGTTTAATTATAACATGATTTATGGGTTAAGAATACTTAGAGCCATCAGCTGGCTGATTCTGGTCTACATAGTGCACATAGTGTAGACCTGGGTCACTTGGTAGCATTGTTGGTGACTGGTGTGTAGGATTTGGGATATCTTTACTTATTTGCTTGTTATTTTTCTGGGGATTGGTGGAACACCAGAATCAGCTAGGCTCTTCAACCTTTCTGTGCCTTTCTACATGGTAGGCAGACTTCTGATATGGTGGTTAAGAACTCTAAGGATAGACGTTCCCAAAACAAGAAAGTACAGACCGAACTGGGAAGTGCACAGTGTAACTTAGGTCATGTTAATTTTGGTGTCAGAGCTGTCACCAAGTCTGCCAGTGTTCGAGGGTAGGAGACAGAGAACCTGCTTTTCTGTGGAAAGAATGCCAAATTTGTCATCATTTAATGTAGCATAGTAGTAGTACTGTCTTCATTTCTCCGTGCCCTTCTCCTAGTTATACTGCTGCTTAACCTTTGCCAACTTAACAGTTCTTTCATTTGTCGGTTTGTTATTCTGTGGTGGCTTACTTGCTGCTATGATGCTAGAAATTCTGCCACTGGTATTTCGAATCATCAGGGAGACCCATGGTGAACAAGTTTCAGTGGAGCTTCCAGTCTAAGAACAGAGTCGGAGCAAGGACTGCTCTGTCTGCTTCTGGATTAGCCACTGAAACCTTATGAATAACAGGGAAACTTTGTAAGATGTAGGACTGGGAGATGAGCCCCTAAGGTTGGAAGGCATTCAAAATACTGCTAGGGAAGAGCTACTCATCAGAGTAGAGTTGACCATAATGATATTGTTGATGAACTAAAGTTTGGGGGACTTCTGTTTGGTGATGATGCATGACTAAAAATGATAAGATACCTCGGCAAGCATCCGTTAATAATTGGAATGTAGAATATATGAAATATGAATCTAGGAAAATTGTAAGTTATCAAAAATAAAACAGAACACATAAAAGTCTATACCTGAGGCATTTAGTGTACTGAAATAAGACTGGCATTGGTGATTTCGATTTGGAGAACAAGACTATTTGTGTGGAATGACAAATTCAAGAGGAATGACACTGCATTCATTACAAATAATATTTCAAGATCTATCTTGATAGAATCTATAAGCAATAGAATAATATCTTTATGTCTACAAGGAAACCCAGTTAATACAACTATTATTCAGATTTAATACCAACCACTGAAGCTAGTACTGAAGAAATTGAAGAATTCCACCAATTTCTTCCATCTGAAATTGATCAAATACACAATCAAGTTGCACTGATAATTTTTGGCAATTGGAATGTGAAAGTTGGAAACAAGATGAAGGGTCAGTAGTTGGAAAATGCACTCTTGGTAAAAAAGAAGCTGGCGATTACTTGATAGAATTTTGTAAGACCATTGATTTCCTCAATGTAAACAATAGCTACACAGGATGGGGTATGAGCATATCATTGCTGATGTCAGGCAGATCTTGACTGAAAGCAGAGAATGCCAAAAAGATGTTTACTTGTGCTCCATAGACTGTAAAGACATTTAAATGTATGGATCATAACAAACTATGGATAACATTGTGAAGAATGGGAATTCCAGAACACTTCATTGTGCTTATGTGGAACCTGTACTTGAATCAAGAGGCGGTTGTGTCAGACAGAGCAAGGGAATATTGTGTGATTTAAAATCGGGAAAGGTGTGCATTAGCGTTATATCCTTTCACCATACTTTGAGGTGCTGGCCTATTGGAAGAAGAGCGCGCAATCAAGATTTGAGGAAGGCTTATTAGCAACTGGCACTATGCAGACGAGTCAACTTCGTGTTTCTACTGGCGAGCATGGAAAGACATTTATCACAAGAATATATTGCCACCTGTCCTTTTTTTTCCTATTTCTTTGTTTACCTCCCCCCCGCCCCCCGCCCCCACTGCCTTTTTTTTAAACTTCTTCCACTTGGAATTAATTTTGTTTGTAGACCATGATTTATTTATTTATATTTAGGATAAAAACCTTTTTTTCACATGATTGAATGAATCCATCTTGATTTCACTGGTAAAAAAATGTCCTTAACTAATACTGATTGAATTTAATAGGTTAAAAAATAATAACTTAATTTTAAATATGGATTATAGCATTCATGTAGAAGATTTATCAGGAAAATTTGGTTTGTAAGAAGTGGTAGCAATTTGGGCTGCTAACCACAAGGTCAGTAGTTAGAACCACCAGCCGCTACTTAGGAAAAAGAGGAAGCTTTCTAATCCTGTAAAGAGTTAAGTTTTAGAAATCCCCAGGGCTAGGTCTACCCTGTCATGTAGGTTACTCTGAGTTGGAACCTACTCCATAACAGTGAGTATGAGGGTTTGTAATTACTTTCTATATAAAAGTATTAAATAGTAGCAGTTCTGAAGTTTCTTGAAGTACTTTTTTTTAAATCATTTTATTAGGGCCTCATACAGCTCTTATCACAATCCATACACACGTCAATTGTGTAAAGCGCATTTGTACATTCATTACCCTCATCATTCTCAAAACATTTTCTTTCCGCTTAAATCCCCGGCATTAGGTCCTCATTTTTCCCCTCCCTCCCTGCTCCCCCACCCCCACCCCCTCCCTCATAAGCCCTTGATAGTTTATAAATTGTTATTTTGTCATATCTTGCCCTGGAGTAATTTTTTGAAATAATGAACTGAGACTATATTTTACACGGAAAGGTTAGTAGAATGTACACTTTTGCCATATCACAAGAAAAGTTCTTTGATCTTTTATTTATCATGAACACCCGTGAAAACGTTGTATTTGGTCATATGGGATGGCCATGTTGAGTTTGTAAACTTATTGCTTAAAACACTTAATTATGACTTGCTGTAATATTTCTTCTTTAGACGGATATTGGGTCCTTGGGTCTGATGTATTTCTTTTTTTTTTTAAATAACCACAATTCTTTACGCACTTACTATGTACTAAGGGTTTACCAGACATTCGTTTAATCCTTTACTAAGGAACCTCAGGGTAGTAAGTAGATGCTAGTAACTGATAAAACTAAATTTTCAATCTGTGTTTCTTTGGTTCCAAAGCCTGAGTTCTTAATCATACAGTTTTGCCCTAGTATATCTTCTTGTTTTGGTTCATATTTTTATTTGGAAGTGGGAGAAAAACCCTAAACTTTTTTTTTCTTTCCATTTTCTAAGGAATTCAGACAGTGATTCTGATGATTCAAATATGGAAGATTACCCAGATCCACAGGTAAGTTAAAAATTCATTGACTTACTTTGATTATTTTTGTGATCATTGTGTTAGTCTTCTGTAGAAAAAGTTAATAAGCAATAAAACAAGTTTTTGAACATATTCATCAATAATTGAATGTTTTATGATCATTGTTGAGGAACTCTTGAATTAGACTTCCTTCTAGTACCTATATTTTTAACCATTATGCAGGGAATAATGAAGTGAGTGGCCAGAAATGAGAAGGGAAACTGAGAGAGAAAATGGAGAAAGGGGTAGTATGTTTGACCAGCCAAGGAGCTGCTGTTGTCAGTGAAGAGGATTACCGTGAAAGGGAGAAAAGGAATAACAATGTTAAATTATTTATAACTTGCTATTTGTTCTGTCTTGGTAATTCACTTTTCGGATTTTAGTAATAAAATAACGATGATACTCAGTTTTGATTGATCCAGTTTTGAATTGATGGGATACTGGTAACTTTTATTGACCACCAATTTATTTACACACTTAAATTTCTGTTGAATTATTTGACATTTTCAGTAAAATATTCTCTAAGCTAAAGGAATTAAAAACAATCTAACAAAATCTTCCTAGGCCCTATCTCAGACCTAACTATTCAGAATTTCCGGAGGTAATAATTAATTAATAGTAACTACTGTTTTAAAATATACAGAGCAAAATAATTTTTTGTAATCTAAAATTACTTAATGATTAGAGTGAAAAAGACAGTAAAACTATCGGTTCATATCTTTTTTGAACATGTGATAATTGAGTTTGCATAGTAAGGCTGGAATAACAAAAAATTGCTACTTTCATTGTCTAATTCTGTTGATTAATATATGATTGCCTCCGATTTGCATAAGGTTTCCTGAGTTGTTCAACCTTCATTGAATGTTTTCTATTGAAAGAACAATACTTGGGGAAATAGAGCTATGAACCTATATTTATAGGTTTAGTATTAAGGTAGCAGAAGGACCTTAATTGGGCCTCCACTCAAGTACTCCCTCAATGCAAGAATAATTTCTTCTATTAAATTGGCATTCTATGATGCTCACCTTCCCGACACAACCGCTGAAGACAAAGAGGGTGAATAAGCAAATGTGGCGAAGAAAGCTGATGGTGCCCGGCTATCAAAAGGTGTGGTGTCTGGGGTCTTAGGGGCTTGAGGGTAATCAGGTGGCCATCTAGCTCAGAAGCAACAAAGCCCACATGGAACAACATATCAGTCTGTGTGATCACGAGGCGTCGAACGGATCACTGAAGACAAATGGGTGTATAAGCAAATGTGGCGAAGAAAGCTGATGGTGCCCGGCTATCAAAAAGTGTGGTGTCTGAGGTCTTAGGGGCTTGAGAGTAATCAGGCGGCCATCAAGCTCAGAAGCAACAAAGCCCACATGGAAGAAGCATACCAGCCTATGCAACCACGTGGTGTCGAAGGGATCAGGTATAAGGCATCATCAGAACAAAAAATCTTACCATAGTGAATGATGGGGGGAGTGCGGAGTGGAGACCCAGGGCCCATTGGTAGGCCACTGGAGATCCCCTTGTGGAGGGATCTCGGAGAGGAGATGAGCCAGTCAGGGTGCGATGTAACAATGATGAGAAATACAACCTTCCTCTAGTTCCTAAATGTTTCCTCCCCGTTCTCCACTACCATGACTTGAATTTGACCTTGCAAGTCTGGCTGGACTGGAGGATGTACACTGGTACAGATAGGAACTGAAAATACAGGGAATGTACACTGGTACAGATAGGAACTGAAAATACAGGGAATCCAGGGCGGATGATCCCTACAGGACCAGTGGTGTGGGTGGTGAGGCAGGGAGGGTGGCGGGAGAGTGGGTGGGAAGGAGGGAGCCGATTGCAAGGAACTATGTGTGACCTCCTCCCTGGGGGACGGACCACAGAAAAGTGGGTGAAGGGAGACGTCGGACAGGGCAAGATATGACAAAATAACAATTTATAAACTATCAAGGGCTCATGAGGGAGCAGGGAGGGAGGGGAAAATGAGGACCTAATGCCGGGGTTTAAGTGGAGAGGAAATGTTTTGAGAATGATGAATGTACAAATGCACTTTACACAATTGACGTGTGTATGGATTGTGATAAGAGTTGTATGAGCCCCTAATAAAATGATTTTTTTTAAAAAGAACAATACTTGTATTATTGAAAAATGATAGATAAAAACCACCTAGATTCCCTCTCAGTAGTTGTGACAGTCATAACTGCTTCTTCTTTTATGCATGGAAAATTAGGCAAGTTGGATTTTTTTCTCAAGAGTAAAGCAGTGGAATTAAAGTGGTGGAGTCACAAGTAGAACCCAGCCTGCTACTTTTCAGTTTGCCCGTTTGGGTTTTCTCTGCTTTGTTTAACCATTAGTTGCCCTTTTCAGTTGTCCATCTCCTCTTTTATTTGGTCTGTCGGTCCACCTTAAAATTCACTGATTCTTCTTTCAGCTGTCTCAGATGTGCTGTTGAACCCCGCTAGTGAGTTTTCCACTTTGTTATCCTGTCAACACCAGAATTCCTATTTGCTTCTTGTTAAAAATTTCTAAATCTCTATTGAGACTCTATGCTTTGAGTCATCATTATCATGTTTTTCTTTAATTCTCTAAGCATAACTTTTATCAACATATTTGCAATAGTTGCTTTGAAGTTTTAATTCAACCTCAGGGGCACTCAGATAATTTCAATGGCTCTTTATTCTCGTGAACATGAATCATGCTTCCTGTTTCTTTGCGTATCTATTTATTTATTTTTTATGAATACTAGATATTTTACATAATATATTATAGCACCTCTGGACTCCCAACTTTTTTCCTTTATAGATGCTAGTGGTTCTAATGTTTCTCATTTCTTTAGTAATTTGCTTTGATTAAATCTATAAAATCTTTCTCCCTAACCAGGGTGTGGTCTCTGATGTCTTTGCACAGTTTTGTTGGTTTTGTGATTATTGTTACACCTCAGTTCCCATGTCTGCATAGCTTAGTGGTCCCCCGATACTGGGGAGAGATTGTCCTCAAACACTAACGGCCAGTCCAGTAAGTCTGTGTGTAGTCTGGGAAATGCATGAAAACTTCAGCTGTTTTCAGGGACAGCTTGGCTTTTTCTTTTTCTCAGACTCCCATAAATTCTTCTGTACTTGTGTATAGCCCCTGGTCAAACTCAGATATGCAAAGAGCTTACCAAGTCTCCTGGTCCTCCTTGTCAAATAGCCAGGTAAACCACGAGTCTTTCCTCAGCTCAGATAGGAACTCAGGCTAGCGGAGTTCACTGGTTACACTAAAGGAGATGGGAGACTTAGGGCAGATCTTACCTGAAGCTTAGTAGTGCTCATGAATAATGTTGGTTTTGGTTGATATTATTCTTGTCTTTGGTTGATATTCAGACCGCTGCGTTGTAGTTGCTTTTAAGGGGAAGGAATTTGTTGCCATCACTCCATAATGCTGTAGCTTATTTTTACTTACAAAAATTTGCAAGTTAGATATATAGACCAATGGAATAGAATTGACAAAAAACAAACCCACACGTTTAGGGTCAGCTGACTTCTTTTACAAGGGTGCTAAGCCCATTCTATGAGGAAAGAAATGCCTCTTCGATAAAATGGTACTAGAAAAATTGTATTTCCACATTCAGCAAAAAGACAACAGGATTCATGCTTATGCCATACACAAAAACAAACTAAAAGGAGTTAAGGACCTAAATGTGAAAACTAAAGCCCCAAAATTCTTAGAAGAAAATATAAGGGCAAAGGCTACCAAACCCAATTTTTAAAAATTGTTTATTGTTTTATTTATTTTTTAAATTTAATCATTTTATTGGGGCTCATACAATTCATCACAATACATAGATCAATTGTGTAAAGCACACCTATACATTTGTTGCCCTCATCAT